AAAAAATAATTTTGAATTTACGGAGAATATTGGTACATTTTTAAAAGAAATTTAAAGAAAAAACACATGAAGAGTTTGGTCGAAAAATCTTTTACTAAATTGAAAAATACTTCAAGTTAAATGTTTTATTATTAATTGTTACCTATATATCTCGTACATTTTTCTCTCATTTCAATGTGTCTAATAATAATAATATCGATGGATAATCACCGCGGTAATTAAAATACTTTTAAAGAGATATCTGAACGTTTCGAAAAGCGATTTTATTTGATGAATGACGTTACAGATAACGGCAAGCTGGAGAAAAATTTTAATCGATTTTAATATTTTAATATTAAATTCGTAATACAGAGAAGCTTATGCTCTCGCAGAATTTTATCCCCGCGACTTCTCTGAGAAGATATTCGAGCAAGTTGGTTTTTCTGGCCGATAAATCCGTTCCTTCTCTCATAATTTCTCTGTCGTGGGAGAAGATACTATAGAAACTTTCTTAATTAAACCGAAAATTATCTGCAAAAGTTTCGAAAAAAGTACCTGACCAACTCCACAACAAGGATAGATACGAACGAAAACAAACGAAACTATATGAATTATGACTTTTAGTTCTTGACATTAGTTGACAAAAAACGTGTACACGGTTAATTGGCCAACGAGTGTCCCATATTTCCTCATAATTCATACAAATCTATAGCAATTGTTTAATTTCTTTCTTGAATTTCTTCGAAGTAAATTTCTACTTTTGCTGATAGATTATTCCCTCAAATATTTGATCCAAGGACCGATCGTGTTAAAGCAGAGATACTAATAAGTATCTCAGAATTTTTTCATATTTTTTAACAGTAAAAAAAGAAGTTAGTCGCAATTATGAACCAAATTCTCCGCGAAGACTTTCTGATTAATTAATAACATTTTTGTTAATCAAATTCATCATAAGGTAACATCTAGCTTACCGGTCTTGTCATTTTCACTTTATAACACTGAAAAATCTTAGTGAATACAAAACTGTATCATTGTTTTTTTGTTAGCAAAACTCTCGAAAGTATGTATATATCTTTATACGTACAATATATTACAATACACACACGACAGCATATATTTTAAATGTACGTGAAATTTCACTGAAAAGATTTCAACGTTTCTCAAACTCTCTAAATTTCCATTTCTATCGAACTGTTTATAGAACGCGACACGATATCTGAAAAGTCCAGTATTGAAATCTGTTACAGCAAAGAGCTGGCAAGTTGGAAAATCAGCCAATCAGAACCGCACCGGGAAATTAAAATCACTGGCCGACGCTCTCTTCAAAGAGAAACATTTTCGAGTTCCGCGATATCAGAAGCGTTCCAGCTGACGGAGATTTTCGTCGAAACGATTAAAATTCCCGCCGTGTATTTTCCCGTTGAATTCTTCTCGGTTGTTGAAAAATGGTTCGCGCGATTATACTGGGAGGATTCACGATGATTCGCGACAACGTATCCCAGCGATTTTCTCGCAGTTTTACCTTTTCTCGCTCTTTTCTTTCTTTCTTCTTTTTCTTTCTCTTCTTTTTTTCTGCTCGTTTCTCTCAACGAAACGCTCAACCATCGTCGCCGTCCCGGATTTCTTTCCACCCGTGGTATATATTCAAATCGGTCGTATCGATTGTTCGAATCTCAAGCAGGTCGAGCAGACGCTACGCGAAATACCCGTGTTTCACTTAATTCAGCGCTTTTCGAGCATGAACCCACGCTTAAAGCCACTCTCGATCTTCTCGAGCGTGGCGAAGGCATTCGAAAGTAGCTGCGTCGTTTAAAGTGCTCCGCTCGGGATGCGGATTAATTAAATCGGTGGGCCGAGAAACGGGTGCAGTTACAGAATTAGCAACTTCCGAAAAATGTTTGAACTGAAGTGTAAATGCTTCGAGACGAAGAATAGTATCAACAGGAGCAATGTTCAATCTGCACGTACTCGTCGGGATTATTTGAAACAAATAACGGATCGTTTCAACTAATTTTGCTGGTTTTATTCGAAAAATAAATGGTAAGAGAGGTAGATTTACCTTGGGTCGATAAATCATTGAAATAAAGTAAGCAGAAGGTGAAAGAACTACTTGAAATATTATTATGCACACAGAAACAAATGTAGAATGCAAAATGAAACGAGAAGTTATTTTATTTGATAGTGAAACAATCAAATAGTTTGTGAATTAACGTAAAATTATTTCAAGACAACATCAGATAATGCGATATGTTATTTAAATCATTTTTATAATCTTTTTGTTTTTTTTTTTTTTTAGATATTTTATTCGAGACTAGTGCTCATAAGTCCGATTGGAATTTAATATCGAAAGTTCACTCTGTAACCTTCAAATGTTATTCATATAACATTACAGTTCATTCAACACTCGCAATTCCATTTTTATAGTCAAATACCTGTTTCGAAAATCTTCATTCAAACATGTACTTCAATATTAGAAGCGATAATCGAATCATGAAAATTAAGAAATCATATAAATTTTATTGTAATGTTTGCACTTGCAGGTATTTTATAATGTTTTTAATTCGTTACAACAGCGGATTTTAATAATAACCAAGAGAACTGATTTAAAATGATTTAAAATGAACGTATTACACAATATCCAGAAGTTTAGTCTTCAAATAATGAAACTAAAATGTCACGTAGAGGAAAGTCCATAAACGCTTCGTTAAAAAAATTTTAAAAATTTAAAGGAGAAATTTCTGGTAGAATAGTCATGTGTAAAGAATAGATTTTAGGTGTAGATATATAAAATATTATTATTATAACTATAATACATATAATACATATAGCTATAATATTATTCGAGCAAATGTTTTTAGAGTATCTCTTTTATTTCTTAGAATATACTCACAGATAGAACATTTATCAATGCAGATTTAATATCAATGTAATAATATTTAATATCAGATTAATATCAACCTAGTGGCGTGTAAAGAATTAATTCGTCTCGCTTAGATATTTTTACATTGTAAATTTCTGCTTCCAAAATTACAGTAAGAGTAGTATAGTTATGCACAAAGATAGTAAATATGCTTTACGTAGTACATACCATAACTTGTCTCGTATTAAACTAAGAGAACATTATTAATATTAATTTGTATTTCGAATTTCATATTTTTGTTGTAACTTTGTAACGAAGCAACAGGACATTTTAATTTCACTATTCGAGCACTAAACTTCCCCTGTAATATGTTCATTCTTCTGTATTTTTCCACAAAAACGACTCACGATAAAATTTAATCGCAGATAGTACACGCAAGTACGAATATTCATCTGTTCATCACACGATTGCACTTGAATTAGAACAGTACTGTAAAGACTAAAAAGTTATCCTTTCAAGTATATCTCAAAACGCATATTTTCCAAAACGTGTAATGCTCTCAAATTCGCCGATTCAATTAGGATCTCTGAGAAATAAGAGAGGGATGAACAAATTGTCCACATAAATCGATATGTTTTCTCTATGCTAATTCGAACGGACGATGATGGCGTTGCTAAGCGAGGCAGAATTGTAAGAGGATACGATTGCAATTACGGCTGAGTTTTGGTACGCGGAAATTCAGGGGAACGGAATTTGTTGCTGTATCTCGACTAGTCGAGAACGATGTTGGCTCCGTTTTCATTCAATTCAGTTCGTTAGACCCGTATGCTCTAACCTGAAGTTAATTGGTTTGTAATATTACGAATTTGCGTTTGTTCCGACGATGGGATGGAACTCGTTACAGTTTCAGATTTCTTTTCTTTTTCGCAATGTTTAAGAAAAAAAAAAAAAAGTCAACGCGATTCAATAACGCGATTGTTGTTGAAAGAAAGTATATCGTATATTCTATCCCATAAATAAGTATCAAAATTGTTTATCTTTCCATCGACACGTGCAATTAAACTCAGTTCAAAGAGATGGAAGCCAACGCACTTCTCGTGCAAATCATGATTGTTCTCGTAATTTCGAATCGTTTCAATTTACCCAAAGTGATCGATTTGTGCTACACGCGATTAATTATCGAAACCGAGGCGAAACGAAACGAAATTTAGTAACGTTCTGCATTATGTTCCGATTCGACTATGTGACTAATGTGACGCAATTCGCGGATTATAGTAAAACTGAGGTCGTACATTATGATTCACGCATTAATAATTCTGTGCGACAGAAACAAACAGCGACGCGGTATATAGTGTGAAAATATATTATTATTGTAATATTGTAAACGCGTATATTTTTTGATTTTTTTCAAAAATATCCTAGTATTATACAATATCTCTTATAAATATTCTAAATATTAAATTATATATATTTAGAATATAATTCTTCTCCAATATGGCATTTAATTTTTAATTATTTGCTTATTTGGTATTATTTTTGATTATTATTTGCTGTTCAACAATGTAATAAATAATATCACGATAATAATACAAAATCCAACTAGGAACATATTATGTTTGATGTACAAAATATTTTATTTTAAAACAAAATTAAGTTAATCAAAAATATTGTGAAATTTCTTATTCTAATAAGACACGACTGCATATCATAATTGTAATTAGATGTTATGTAGAATTATTGCATAAAAATTATACCATACAAATATTACACAATAATGCATAATATTTATTATGTATATATACAGTAGTACGTAATAATTATCACATGTAATATATTATTCATACTGTACATCTACTAATTTTTCATCAGATGTTACATACATACATCTTTTAATACGATCTCAAATTTCATAACCATGACAGTCGTGTCTCATCGCAGCGTTAATAATTAAATTTCGAAATGTTTCGTACAACGTATATAACATACGTACGGAAATTCTTCTATAGGTATTCTATAGGCTTCTGTAACAATTCATATATTTTCCTGAGCCACCGTACACGTATAATAGAGGCATGATTAGTTCTTCTCGTTCATCTTTCGCCCGTTCATCAATGTTTCCGCATCTCTCTGTAAAAATCGACTTGTGACACTTTGATTTCAGACCGGATATAAACGCGATAAAGGTGTTGGCGTCTGCGAGTTCTTCAGGTGCGACGAAAGTGGCTCCCCCATCGGCAGTGAATAGGGTTGCAGCCGAAGATCGTGAGTTAGCGCGACAAGGAAGCCTCGTCGATGGAGAAAGTATCAAGATCGTTATCCATCATGCAGACAATGACATGAGTAAGTATCTCTCAGTAGAATCTCTCATTAAACTGCTTGCTCTATTATCCGGAAGCTGTGTCACGAGACTCTTATTGCTCTCTTCACTCTGCCCGAGGCGCGTTATCAGCTAACAATAACTTCGACATTTATCTCGCTGCTTGGAGGAGATCTTTCGCGAGAATCTTGCTACTTAACATTTTGCTACTTGACGCAGAGGAAATCAAAGTTGTAACGTTCCCTTGATATTAATATTAATATTATGAGAGGTCGTTAAATAGGAGGATAAAACATAGTATGAAAGCAGGATCAAGGCACAATCGAGTATTTAAATTTCTTCTTTCCTTTATAACGTATGTTGCAACAATCGAAGTATCTGTCTTTTCTGACTGTTTCATTTTATCATCAATTTTTAAATTAATTTGTAGGAATTTTAAAACTTTTTACTTCATTTTTATTCGTCATTTAATTGATTTTCTATTTTAACACTTTTTTTTTATTTTATTTCCTGTTTCTATTTCCTAATATTTTATTATTATGAGATCGTTAAATGGAAGGATAAAACAGGGTATGAAAGCAGAATCAAGGCACAATCGAGTATTTAAATTTCTTCTTTCCTTTATAACGTAATTCTAATTGTTTCATTTTATCATCAATTTTTAAATTAATTTGTAGGAATTTTAAAATTTTCTATTTCATTTTTATTCATCATTTAATTAATTCTTTATTTTAACACTCTTTCATTTTATTTCCTGTTAGCTGTTTTTATTTTGTTTCCTGTTAATAACGTGTGTAACTTCTCGTTTCAACTTTGTGTTAAGAAATTTCCTGTCTGTTTATTAAAATGGGAGTTACAGAAATATAAAGCAGAGTCAAAGCCACGATCGTATGGCAGATAAATCTTGTTTTCGAACAATGTTCAGACGAAGGAAACTACTGCTTCGAAAATCTTTCGCAAGAGTCTTGCTACTTAAGGTGATTATGAAGATGGAAATCAAGGGTGTAACACTAATATTGATGTTATCGGAGATTGTTAAACAGTAAGGTTCAATAGGATGTAATCGAATATTCAAATTTCGAATCTGGGTCAACGAAGTTTCTTATTGGAACGAAAGAGCGATTCGTGGATGTAATTAGAAAAGCGGATAACGCGATAATAAAGTTTCTCTTTCTCTATATCCTCTTCCCGACGAAGCTATTTCGCACTGAATTCGTTTCGATGTTCGTAATTTTTCGCGTTGATTATTCTTGTCCGTGCAAGTTGTTTTCTTCCTTCTTCTCTCACTAAACTTACATTTTTGTTCTAATTATTACTTTGTGATTTCCTGCATTATCTCAAACTTAATACGATACTCATTACTTTTAAAATGAAGATTAAGTTCCAATTTTTGTTTAGGTTATATCTTGAGATATGGATGAATTATAATTCTCGAGATCTCACAAGTCTTTAGCAGAGTTAAATAGTCTAATCGCGATTTCGTCAATTTCACTAACATTTTATGTACATATTGTAGAATTGTGAACACACACATTAGTATTGTAAACATATACACATTAATAGTTTGAGTATTATAATAATAGTTTCATTGCAAAGCGTATCTTTTCCAGTTTCAGCTCTTTGCTTTTTATTTCAATTTTTCTTTTCACAATACACTTTTGAAAGTTGAAATTCTCTCAATCGTTTTTACAAGAAACGTGAGTCACTGGCAGTAATAATAAACAATAATGCATAGTACTTTAGAAGTAACCACCACTACGCATGTACTTTAGTAGTTAATATGAAAATTGTAATTAAATTTCACCCTTCAATTTTACTCAAAACCTGTTCAGAATCCTGAAAGATCATAATTCAATCCAGGATCTGTGGGATGAACAAATGAGAATAAACATCTTACTGACTTTCAACATACAGAGTTTAAAAAGTATTGTGGTATCGTAGGTCGTTGTTAAGTGATAACCTGTAATTGTAGTTATTATATTTTTAGTGCAGCATTTGTATTGTGAAAAAATGCGTGAAAGAGAAAGAAAGTATGAATGTGAGAAGCGCGACGGTTAGAGGCCTTTTTTTGAAAAAGGAGAGAATCAAAGAAGAGAATCGACTTGAGTTGTGAGAAAGCATCGATTGAGTTGTAAAAAAGAGTTGATTGAGCTGTTAAAAAAGAGTTCATTTGAGTCGTGACCGCGTATATTAATTGTTAATCTGTTTAATTATCTATTGTTCCATCGTCAGCATTATTATTAAATCAATGTTATTTATATTTAATCTCTACAGTATCATCACTTTAAAGAATCATGAAATAAATAAATAATGGATGGAATTAACGATTACAAAATTATAAGAATTGAAGAATAGTTTGCTAAGTTTAATTATGTTTCGACGTGAATGAATCTTTATTTACGGCAAAGGTAGGAAATAGAGAACGTTAATCCAAACAAATTTCCCAGTATAATACTCCGTTCAAAAGGATTTTTCCCCGTGCTGGTAATTAAATTCTTTTAATTAGAAATCGGAAATTCAATTTGACGGACAATGCAAATGCAAACTTTCCCAAAAGCAAGTTCGGTAAAAATGTCCTTGTCTGTTCATGTGACGTGAAAAAGTAGAATGCTACCGAATTAAGCTCATTCGTTAGAATAGAAAACCGCTTTGTGGGAGAGCGGGAGTGACATTTGCAAAAACCGTTTAATAAGTGAGTAAAACTTGAAAAGGACGCGGCGCGTTTCTTCCGCGCGCATGAATTTATGAATGTAGAGTAAGAGGAGAGGTAGAGAAAAACTCTGCGCGCAGCGTATCGAGCTAATGAGGTGTAAAAAATCGTAAAATCGTCGAGTGATAACGATCGAAAGAAATTCTGAGAAAAACTTCAAGATAAAACGTAATAATGTTTGCTTTACGATATTACTTTTTTACGGTTTTCCACCGCGTTCGGGAATAAATTTATTTAGTCCAGTTTCAATGATTTTTCTCCCCCTGCCATAATGAGGAGGGAAATTTTATAAATTACCTCAACAGAGAAATTCGCGATTTTCACCGGACAGAGCGGTGTTTTTCAATTAGTTAATTAAAACTGTAGAATTTCGTTCAGTTGATTCAATTTTTTCAACGTAGTTAACTTTGAAACTTGATTAAATGTAGATTTTTATTTTACATTGTATATACATACATTAAAATGTGAAATTATTTCACGATAATGTTGTTCATATACAGGGTGTTACCTGTGTATGCGATGCACGATTTTTCACCCACTTACAGTCTGACAAAAAAGAGTTTAGAACAAAAGTTGAAAAGTTTACAGTGGGTGTCAATAAAAAGAATTTCGAAAACTGTTTGTTTTCATAGCTAAATCACGATCACTTTGGATTAAACAAATAGGAACATATAATTTTTTTTCCACCGTATTGTAGAGAACATCGGGACAAATTCAAACCATATATTACATAATACTTTTATTAACATGTTATTCCATTTACTGCAGTGGAAATCGTTGCTTCAGAAGGCTACTTTCGTTCTCGAAATCTATCTCTGTATATTTCAGTAGCTTCTCGAGAATTTCTCTTGCATTCGCCAAAAATTCGCCAAACAGCATTTCAACTCTCTCGAAATTAGAAAAAGAAGAATACACTGTTGTAAGCGATTAATTTGCATCAAATATTGGAAATATAAAACGAAGGAACTGCCATGACAACTGCAAATAAATTCTAGTCCTATGTTTATATTCAGTAATCTGAGGTCAACTATGTTTTACACTGTCTTAGAATCAAATACGACGAGAAGCTAAATGTTTCACATTTCCACTATTGTAAATGAAGTAAAATGTTAATAAAAATATCATGTAATATATGTTTTGAATTTACCTCGATGTTCTTGACAATACGATGGAAAGAAAATTATGTGTTTCTATTTGTTTAATCCAAAGTGACTTTGATTAAGCTATAAAAACAAACAGTTTTCGAAATTTTTTTATTGACACCTATTGCACACCCTGTACCTTTCAATTTTTGTTCTAAACTTTTTTTTGTCAGATGTCTGTAAAATCGTGCGTCGCGTTACAGGTAACATCCTGTATTTGACTTAAAAATATGAAGAAAGTATTTGTCAATGAATGGTATTGTAATCGTAACATTGAACAAATTTCAATGTCTAATTTTTTAAACCTCCTTTGTCCTTTTCTCTCTAACTTTCGCAATTTTAATAAATTTGGTTATTTCTTTAAGGTTTTCCATTCTGTGAAATTCTCATAATACTTTTCATAATACATTACAATGACTGGAATAAATGAAACATTTATTGGAGAACTATAATCCAGGAAATAATAAAAATAATATTATAATTTTTCGTAGATTTGAGAAATAACATCTTTTCGTTAAGTAAAATACATTGTAAGAGAGATTACGACCGTATAAAGTACGAAAAGGATTTTCTTTTTCTTCAACCCTTTATATCCTAGCCTGATACTTATCCCAGCCAAGTACCACTTTATATAAACTTACATCATTTTAACGTGTGTCATTAATTTCACGTAACACTGAAAAATACAGGCAAATTGAACATTTGCGAGTCGTTGGAAGAAAGCACGAGAATATTGAAACTTTCTTGCTTTCTGTAGTCTGTAAGATTACGTTTTGTAAACATAATACAGTCTCCCTTATGTGACTCTCTATTTTTCAAATATCTTATTACTCGAATATTATATTATCAAATCTGTTCTGTTACGTAAACGTTTCATTTGTAGTAATATAACTCGAATGTTGATCCTTGGTGGGACACATACATACGTCTTATCAAATGTTTCTGATCTTCTTTATATTAGTAGATATGTAGTTATAACAATAGAAATATTATTTTTATAACAAATTACAATTTAAAAATTTGTCCTTTTCAAAATTCATACCTACTCAAATCCAGCATATTTATTGGCGAAACTACCAATTTCTAAAAGAAAGAAAGGAATAAAATCCAAATAAAATAAAAAAAAAACAGTGACTGAAGGATTGAGGATTAAGATATTCGAAAAATAGTGGTTCAAGTAAGAGAGGCTCGTGAAATTATTAGAAAATTAATTTTCCTGTGTTCACAATACGTCGAAAGTAATCGAATGACATAAAATTTAAAAAAAAAAAGTGTTATAAATAACTTGATGCCAAAGATTAAAGTATTGTTGTAATATAAATATTTTTAAAACGATGGAAATATCTATATATATTCGGAATAAAGTTGTCCGAATAAGAAGATTAAAAAAAAAATGTACAAAAGATAAAGTAAGATGAAGATTATCTGGGAAGATAAAGCTGATTTTTCGATGCAATTTCTAACGGGATCTAGCGGGATATGAAATTTTATCAGTTTAGAAATTCCTGCGAAGGTTGTCGTAAAAAGGATATGAGAAGCTTTTCTGGGATAGTTTCTCGAAAACTTCAATTTTGGCTAACGGCAGGAATATCTCCTGATACTTCGATACAGGTCAACAAATAATAAATTTTATAAAAGTCTCGTGAAGATAAATATTTGAAAAAATTGTTTAACTTTCATCCATCTTTCTTCTTTTCAACTTGACTTGTCTCTTGATGTTAGATTAATGCAATACTAAAAAAGATAAATAGTTAAATTTGTAAGTACAATAATTAAACTAAACTTTTATTATACATAACCATCCTTCAATTTCATATCAATTTTTTCTTCTTAAGATTAACTAATTTTCTTTTCTTTAAGTTGTCCATTATTACGATCATTTGTTTTAAACTCTCGCTTATGACGATATATATTATACGTACTCACAAGTTTGACAAATTTTTACTTTAAGTAATAAATAATAATTAACGAAGTAACAATTAATATTGCATTGGCAAATAAAAATTTTATTATTTTAATTAATCCACATAGATATGTTTAACTAACTAGTAATTTATTTCTTTCATTTGAATAAATAATTTTGTATTTAAATAATGCTCGACACTGCTACGAACACATATTTAAAACTATAAATTGCATATCTATATGAACTTTTGAAGAAATGATAAATATAATTGATTTCTGTGACAAATATTATTCAAAATTCTAGCGATGTATATTGTTATTAACAACAATGTTAAAAATACTATACTCTATATCTAAAAAATGACCAAAATTATAAAAAAATGGCAAAATGGCAATACATTTATACTTGTAATAAAAAATCTTTATGTACGTATTATGTGTGTTTTATAAAATACTTTAATGTTTCATTAACAACACAATGAAAAAATTTGATAATATAATACATAAATTATAAGACATTCATTGCAAACACATATTCAATAAAATTTCAATATTGTGTATAACCATCTGAATTATGTATTAATTTTTTGAGTGCTTAAAATTACTAAAAGTCTAAAAGTTAGATATTGAATGAGCATGTAAGAATGTATTCATTTCTGAACATATAGATTTGATATATTTATGCTATAACTAACAAATAGATTATGGATTATAAAATTATCTGTACATATTTAAACATTAACTTAAAGTTGGCTTCGCTGAATATTGATACAAATAATTTATTGTGACTGTTTAAATATTTTTATGATCTTTACTAAATATACAGTTATACTAAATATTTCTATATGTACTGTCAAAATCATTAAAAATTTTACCAATATAACCAGTTAGATAGTTCGATCAGTTGGCAAATGAAGTTTCCAAATGTTGTACAATATATCAGTTAATATACTATAAAAAATATCGACAAATAAACGAATATTCTCCTAATTCAATCACTGTACGTATAACAGAATAACTCAACTTCTCGTAAGAAAAATATAGCATATTTTGAAGATAAATATTGAAGTGACTTCATTGAAGTCCTTCCACTGAAACTGGCTTGAATAATAAAATAATTTTCAGTCATTTCATTTCCCTCGAACTTGGTTTATCAGCTTTTCCGCGTGACGGAATCAGACAGAATTCTTTTGTAGATTGATGTTTACTTCCGTTTCGCGGTTCTCTCCTCCCCTCCACCGAAAAATATCAAGAACTGGCAAAAAGACTAGAAGACATCAAATCAATTTCTGCAAGAATGAGCATTGATCAGCACTAGAATTCGGGATATAAACGAAATCACTTTTATGCTAGACCGAGCGGAAGTCATTTTTATAACGCAGACGCGTTGTAAGAATGAAAACTAGCGTGATCTTCTTCCATCCGTCAATGATCTGATTCTTTTGTTACGATTCGACTGTTGGAATGTTAGGAGAAACATTATTTTTTCTACAACATACATAGACAAAACGATTTGATCGATACGAAAATAATTTTTTAAAATTATCTTGCCAAAAGAATTAATGTTCTGTTAAATCCGCTGTATTTTTACAAACTAATGTATTTTTGTTCAATGGATATCTTTTATTGAATTTTTCGCACGAGAACAGAATTTCATTGAAATTTCGGAATTTATCGTTGGAAATATTTGTTCGTATGGAACTAATTGTATTTATGAGATTCTCTACAGCTCTACAAATGATTTATGACGTGTTTATAATGTTGAGCCTTACAAAAAATTGTAATACTCGCGATTGCCTATGGTGATTTAAATTTCGTTTAATTTATATTTACAACAGTATTTATATTTGAAACTCGTAAAATTGTAATACTCGTGATTATTTATGGTAATTTAAATTTCGAGATTTCGTTTAATTTACATTTAATTCGTATCTGACAACATTAGAGTTTGATGTTTTAGCTGATCTAACAATAATTAATTAAATACGACGACGTTTCTTGTGACAAAAATAAACCCATTTATTATTGTCTTAGAAAAAAAGAATTTTTTGTATTTATTCCAATAAAAAATGATTTAATACGTTTAGAATCGAATTTTTTCAATTGCAAAATTTTGCGATTATATTTTAGAATTCCGATAAAGATATCGATGATGAATGTGTTGAGTAAATATTTATTCCAGTTATCATCAACGAATTCTATAAATGTCAAGTTTTGGCGTTTCTGAAGAGAACGAAAATTCATTTCTCAATGTATAATTCATATATTCTCATATATAACAAATGTAAAACTCAGATAATTTTAATTTGCAACGTGATATAGCCAGTGATGATGAATTCAAAATTTTTACAATAACAGTTGACATTTTTCTCGTGGATTCTTCAATATATTTTTAAACTAAGATTGAAAAATAAATATCTATATTTCATTTTATTGTTCATTGCAGCGCCGTGGATGAACGCAAAGCGAAGAATGAAATTGAGAAGAGATCCAACTTTGGACAAAGGGCATAGATGTAAGTACTTAATTATTTAATTGATTTAACACTACAACTACCGACGATTAAAGCACAAAATTTCCATCAGCGATGTTAAAGTAAAAAAAAAAAGGAGTGGAAAAGCTTTATATCATAATGAAGTGTACAAACTTTTATTTATACGTTTTATGAAAAATCATTCAAATTCTCTAAAACTACGCTGTAAAATTCTCTAATTCAAATTCTCTAAAACTACATCTATAAAATATCTGACAAAACTTATAAATTGGTCATTCTGATCGATTTGGTAGTTCTAGTGTTAAAATTATATATCTATTTTATCAGTTAAGGTATTATTTCGTGCTTTGTAACATGCAATACATATCATACACTTAATTTCGTAATAATTTTAATAAACTTAAAAGTATAGTTCTAATTTCATGATCTGTTTCACTGTTTCTTGAAGTATTTTAACAAAACATGAAAATGAAATATCTTTCGATAGACAATAATCTCTTTAAAAGGTATAGTATGGAAAATGAAATAAAATAACAAATTTGTCATTAACGTATAATAATACTCGAAATGCACATTTAGGAATAATACTTTTTAAAGACACTTTACATGTTGATATATTCATAAAAATGCAAACTTTTAAAATATACTTTTTAAATGTACTCTACATGTTCGTACATTCATAAAAATGCAAATACGTCGATAATCAGTGATAAAATAAATCTGAATATCAAATGGATATTTTCATTTTCAATTTTTGTTAAATTAGAAAGTCTGTCGAATTTTTTATGCTTTTCACAATGAAAGATATTTATAAATATTTTTATAACCAGGAGTAAGTCTAGAACTAGAAAGGAGAATGATTTTATGCTGGCCTTTTTCTTCCCACAATAGAGAAAAAATCGAAAACGTTTTCATTCCGAAAATTGAAAGTTAAAACACATAAAATCACTTTACGACTTTGCTTTTGCACGACATTTAGTTACTATTCTTCCGACTTTTTAAAACGTTTTATTTTTATTTTGATTTTTTAGTTTCAAAATTCTGCCAGAATTTTTGGAAACTATTCCAGAGCTTTCACGTTTGAAATCAGTCTAAATTTCATTTGGAAAACTTTTCACGTCGAGAAAAATTTCAGTTTTAACAAAAACTCAAACTTCACGTTGAAAAATCGTAAATAAACGTAAGTAAACTATCATACAGTAATATTCTTAATACTCACGAATAACATATTTTCTTTGCGTCAATACGCTGATTACTATTCTTGTCAAATTTCCATTATCTATTTCCAATTTACTAACAAATGTTAGGTTATTTTTGGTACATGTTTTAATAATTACCATTTTTTTTATTCCAATTGTTCAAAATTTTGTACAAAAAAACTTTCTTCTAAAATGTACAAACATTTTCTCACTTCGATCTTTGATATATTAATTTACGAGAAAAAAGGAATTTGAATAAACTCTTGGCCTTACTTTTTTAGATGCCTAAGAATTGAAGATCCCAAGTACGTACCGGATAAAATTAATTGGATTATAAATGATCTTAACAATTTATGTCAGGTGTTTGATTTTATTTTGTATTCCGTATTAGGGATAAAATAAAATTAAATTAAAAATTCGGAAACTAACTAGAAGTAATTTAATTCTAACTTGTTATCGTATTTTCCCAGGCTGGCCCAATAATACCGGTTAAGCGTTAAATAAATTTTAAGCTCGCAAATTTCCCTCCAGTAAAATTAAGACGAAGTCTCTTCTCATGAGCTGATTATTCAGAGTTATTAACTTATTCTAACGAAAAGATCGTCGACCTTTGTTTTACACTGTTTTAGGCTTTCGTATATGAGCCGTGTATCTGGAAGAAAATTTTTTCCAACGTTTCACCGATATTGTTCCTCAAGATTCTGAGGATGCTTCAGAAACTGTTTCAGTGTTACTGTCAGATCACTGAAGAAGCTACAATGTTGGCGAAATATTGGGAAGAATTTCTGGATATGGTTCACAATAATGTAGAGTGTTTAATTTGATACAGACGAACAATTTTTGTTCATCAATAATACTATGCGATTCAGTAGGTTTATTTTTTTAAATTGTACAATGCACACGAAACGTATAATCTTATTAAAATAACAGAACTGATGATGTTACAATAGTATAGTACCAGTAGTTTTTTTCTGACATTTTCTTTGACAAAGTATTTATATAATAAATGCAAAATTTTCGGAATATATTATTATATAATTATATAATTACATAATATATAAGCAATATATATTATACTCATAATACTAATACATATAATAATAATAATATAATAATAATAATATAGTGTACAATAACGTATTATAACGTATTATATATTATAGTAATTTATATTTTGGTTAAGATGGAAAACAAAATGTTATAGGAAAAAGATGAATGGTTTTAAAACCATTATTGATCATATTTCTTGCGCAAGTTTAATAATTAATATGCAATATTTTTTTAAATGAAAACCTTCTCTTTTTCTTTTTTCTTTTTTGTGCACGTCAAATTTTTCGATTACTCTGTGTAAAAAGGTAACAAATTGATCAATTTAAAAGATATTTCGATTTCAATTTTAATTTGTATGAAAGATGATTTCAATTGTACGAAAGACAAATGAAATAAATTTAAGGGGACTACATACGTATGTATGTTACGTCTCTAAATTTAAGTTTAATTATAATTAATCAGAGTTTCAGTATTGTAAAAATATTACGAATAAGACATTGATTTACTTGAAAAGGTTTGGGTTAGGTTTCGGTTAGGTTCGTACTTTTGAAATTTTAGCATGTTCAAAATGTTTGAGCGTGAGTGTGTATCCATTGTATTTCGTGTTGACAACATGAAATACACAGTTCCATATTGAAACTGAACTATTATTCGAAGATACATTCAAATTTATAACACACTTAATTCATTCAATCAATTCATTATTTATGATTCATTAAAATTTCAAAATTATGAAATTAAACCAAGGAATCGTGGTTACTCATTATTTTTTCTAACTCTTTATTTTGCAAATTTTTATTTCTTTCTGTCTATCCCGAGTTTTCTTCCTTTTTCTGTATTATCTTGCTTTCTCGTTTCTTTATCAATTATCACGTTTTTGTACGAGACAAATAGATGTCCTAACACACATTTTTATTTCAAACGAAACTGTTCGAATTGTATCGAATGTCCGATGAACGTGCAAATATTCAGACCCACGGAACGCGGTCAACTAGCTGGATAAACGAGATAAAACGCGGTCATAAACGTTGATAAAGAGCGAAAGCAATGAAAACAATTACGCAGCTCTTGCAGGTGTGCACGTGACGTTTAATTACTCGTTGGGCTTTCACATACTTCGCGACAAGAAGATAGCACTCTAGAAATTTTATGTTTCTGCAATTTGTACGTAATAAATGCAATTTTAATGCTCACCTTTCTCTTTATTAATCTTATGTACATACGATTTATTGTTGGAAAAGATTGAACAAACTATTTTGTTAATTAAATATATAACTGAGTAACTGATGATCAGTGCAACGATAAAAATAATATTTCTGCGTAATTGCCAACGTATGCTTTGAAATTAATACACTTCATTTTTAATACATTAAATAACAGGATTTTTTTCTTTCTCAACTTTTCGTAATAACAGATTGTATTATACATACTTAATAACCAAACGGGTTTTTATGCAAATTCATATTTTTATAAATATAAATATAATTATAAAAGTCAAGCTTCAGTAGAAATTTAATTATCTATTAAATATGATAATAATAATAATAACACCGTTATAATATAACTTATAATACAATATTTAGTAATATTACAGTTGTATATTTTCATATGTTCATTCTGATCATTATTCAGTTTATGAATTTCGCAAAAAATGCATAAAAATCAACAGTGTAATAATAAGAATCTTCATACACAAACACAGACATATCTATTACGTACTAACTATAAACATATGAAATATTTATGTTGTGATATTTTTTTGTCGCGTGGTATAAACTTGCCCTTTCACTCTTCTAAAAGACTACAATAATGAATTGAATTGATCAATAAATGACGGAATAAATGGATACCGTAATAGTACATACATATGCAAATAAATTAAAATTATCTGTTGTAATCGCCTACAGGCGATCCAGTAAACTAATGAATTTTGCAAGTAACTCGAACGAGAATATTGCACAAACGCATTGAAATGATCAATTGTGTTCGGAGGTATTAGGGTTTGTTTCAGTGAGACCAATGATGCATACACGAGTCTATTGTGACGAAACTTTATTCGTGCATATAAGCGATGATCGATACCAGCGATTATTTCCAGTTTAATACCTCTAATGTTTTGTTCAAGACAATAGAAAAAGATATATCCGTTAACTCTGTTTGGCTTCATTTGTTTTTCACGTAAGCTTCACGTCGTTGGACAAAAAAATTGTGAAAGAAGAATGACGAAAAAAAGACTTTTTTTAAATTGATTTCACTCGCGAGAAATGTCAATTACTTTTTGGAATGTAACAACGATTTATTGGAAAATTATAAATTTTTGCTTCAAACGCATGCTTATATTAAATGAATTATTGAACATTAAACATATAATATCAAATACAGTATAATAAAATTTAATATATAATTTACGATATTTATTCACGTCGAATATTAAATAAAACATTCTTTGAATGTTGAAAATTCTCATTTCAACAAAAATCGTACACGTAATTTGAGTAATTGAGTGAGCAACCTCTTACTTCATGTATATATCATTTAATTAACTTAAGTGTTTGTGAGAGACCTTTAGAAGTTGTTGAAGTTCAAAGTTCAAAGTTCAATGGTCCTATTTGAGTTTAACAATCAAATAACAGTGAATAGATGATTGAAGGAAGGCCATTCTTGAAGGATTTAAGAAAATATTAACGTTTTATTAATACTTTATATTGTCACTGTGTAAAGTCACGTAATTGAATCTTTTATTTCTACGTTTAATTGTACGTATACACTTTT